AATTTATAAAAAAATAAGAGAAAATAAAGTTAAACTTTGAAAAGTACATAACAGTATACAAACAATCACAAAATTACCATTTCTACAATAAAAGACGGTTTCGTATAATTATATTATATAATTTATTTTGGTTAAAAAAAATTTCTCTATGTGTTTTGATTTGGTGAGATGTGAGAACGCATCAATACAAGTTACATACCGCATAAGAAAGAGCAATATGGTTAATAAACTACAATCATATATATATGCATATATATATATATATATGTATATGTATTTCGTCAAGATAAAACAAACCCCTCATAAGAAATTTAAAATGAAATCACATCATATATGAACGAACACACAAGACCTAAGGGATGATTTGGGCAAGCGGATTACCAAGAACATATATAGATTCAATTGGAAAAGAAAAGAAAAGAAAAGAACTCAAGGTCTTAATTAAAGAAAATATTTTGAACAACAATGATCAATTAATCAAGATATTTACTTATTGAAGATGGCTGAATTTCCTCGGGATGATGAGTCATAGATGGATCAGGGAAATGGTCGTGGAGGAAATGGCTGAGTGTATCCACACATCCCATAAACATGTTGGACCTTCCGGGGGCATCCGTTCCCGCACCGGCCACAGTTCAACGGGCTGCGATTTGTATCAATACAAAACCCGTGGCAACATTGCCGAGCAAACAGGCATCTAATTCCACAGAAACCGCAGTTACTAACATCTGAAGAGACATCAACACATTGATTTCTACAACACTGCACTCGAGCTGAAGATGGATGCAGTCCCTCTCTGCATATCCACGGCGTACTCCGGCACCCGGGGGGCCGTGGTCTTGGGCCATGGTTCATTACTGCTTTGCCGAACCACATGATTTAGACGCGCAAGCAGCACTGGACACACACCCAGATCAAACGAAGGTAGTATATATAATAGTTCAATTCAGTTTTGATATTCGCCGTCCACGGATACTTGAAGGGGCGTTCATGTTTTCCTTGCATGGCCAAACAAATGAATTCTCGTGTTATGAGAGGTGAAATTACCAACTACGTGATATGGAGAGGGTTGTTTCCTTTGCTCTGCTCCTAAAGGCTGGTCTTTTGCTTTTACAAATCCCTGATTAAAGGATCTGTGTAACTGATGCAACCCCAACCTTTTTTTCTCAGTATTAATTAAATATTATTTCAACATAAAGAAGGGCCATCGTTCGTTAGATTTGATAGAATTAAGGGGCTTTTCCTTTGTCCTTGGTCTCTGGTACCATATGGTAAACATGAGCTGCACCACATTCCATGCAACCCTACTCCCTCTGCTATTAGCAACCTGACATAAACAGTCATTGAATGATTTTAAAAGTCGAGAACTAGCCGTTTAATCCCCGACTCACAGCGGATTATAAACTTTTTTCTTAAAAAAATATTAGGTATAAAAGTTACTTTAATAAGTTTTTATATATAAAAAAGTTTTACAAATTGAAAAACCATTTATATAGTATGCATAAAATGACACTTGCATTTGATTATATTTATTAAATTTATTTATTTAAATATATAAAAGATAAATCTATATACTAAAATATCATTGATTTAAAAAATAAATACAAATAGAATTGACTGAATAAATTCATGCTATAAAACATATTATGCAAGGCCAAACACATTAACAATATAATTTTAAAAAATTATTTTTAATTTTAAAAAATAAAATTTATTTGTATAAAAAAAACATTATAGATGAATTATAATAATACCTTGCAAAATAAAATAGAAATAGAACAAAAAGAATATTAAAAAAAACATGCAAAAATCATAACTTATATCATAAAATCAAGATAAACTTATAAAAAAACTTGAAGATAATAACAAAATCATTGTTAAAAAAAGACTAATGCAAAACAATAAAAATATACAATGCTTAATTCCCAACAAATTAAATGTCAAAAGATAAAACCAGAAAAAAACATTTAATTACATAAAAGTATAAAAAAAAATAAGAGTGAGAAAAAACATTAAATTAGTGGGATAAAAATTTTCAATTTGAGATTTTAATTGAAATACAAAATGACTTTAATAAAAAGAAAAAAATCAAAAGAATAAAGGTCAATCAAAGAAATAAAAGAATAGAAAATTTGATTGAAGCATGAAATTGAAAGAAAAAAACTTTAAAAAAAAGTGCTAAGGAAAAAATTAAAAATTTTAAAAAATAAGGACTGAAATAAAAAACCAAATATATAAGAAATTACAATTGAAGGACTAAATTAAAAAGAATAAAAAAATTTATAAATAAAAAAGAAATGAAATAAGAAACTAATAGATTGAGGACTGAAATTAAAAAGTAAGAAATAAAGAGAATAATAGTGTACATTACCTATTAGGAGAGAGAAAAGAAGGAATAAATCAAACAACCACCGGCAACAATCCGATTATTTTCAATTATCAAATACCACTTCAAATGAAAGAGGACATAATGACGCATCTAATAAGACGATGGAAGGCTAGTTACATCCATCCAGTGGCATTCCATATGCTGTCTAAATGGCACAGACACCATACACATTAGGGTATGTTAAGCACGCTCCATCAACTTTAAGCAATAAAAAAATTAAAAAATTGAAAATATAAAAATACTCCCATAATCTTGAAAATTACACAAACATATGAAGGTTCCAAAATACCCATAAATGCTAAGCTTATGTTTTATTTTTTTCAAGGTTAAAGATGTAATTGCATTATACATTAAAATTCAAGAACCCCAAAACACATTATCCAGTAACACAATAATTTTTTAACCCTTTAGGCAAATATGTATTTTACTGTTAAGAAACTTATATAAAGTCAAGAAAGTTTTTGGTCAACATTTTAATATTTTGTTGACTTTGAGGGCAAATAGTATTTTTACTATGTAAAAAAAATAATGAAAAAGACATCAACACCCCCACCCAATAGGCTTAATGTTTTTGCATAAAAGGGCAGAAATATAATATTATTGTAACCCAAGACACATTATACTATGGATTAGGCTACAATAAAACAATTATGTCATTTAGCTATTTATAACTTTTCTAATATTTGAAGAATTAAGACAGACTGCTAGACATTGTACTTAATCTTCAAATATAAATCAATCAATTATTGAATTGATAATAAACTAATATTTGAGCCAACTTATTAGGGAATCTAATAAGTCACACACATAAGAATCATTAATCAGAAATTAAAATGAGATGATTAATCAAGTGTGACTTGATTATAAATAAGTTTTGGAAATTACAGACTAGAATGTAATTAATATATAAGATTATAATTCTAGACATAGAAATAATCAAGTAAGGTCTTGATTGAATACATTTTTAAAACTAGCCACTTGGGTGACATTAGAAGGGGAGATAAGAACAAATGATATTATTTAAGGAAAAATTGATATTTTATCATTTATATTGTTTTTAGGTTTTTCTATAAATGTTTGATCTTTCATAACCAACTACATGATATAATCAATACTTGTGCTATGAAATAAACTTAATTTGTTAACGTACGTTATAATCATAAATAATTGACAACATTTACAAGTATTAACATATCCGAATAAGATAACTAACGTAATCTTGTTAACAATTTATAAT